CGGCGGGGGGCCCCCCGGGGGGCCCCCCGCCGCTGCCCGGGGGCCCCCGCGGCCTCCCTGCTGCTCCCAGCCGGCCCAGCTGCGGGGGCCCCCCTGCTGCTGCGCCAGGGGGGTCTTCGGGACTTGCTGGGGCCCCCCAGGCAGGGGGCCCCTTGAGAAACGGCCTAGCAATAAAGAGAAAAATGCACAAGACAAATTGATAAGTTTGAGGGAAATAGTTTTTATTAGATAAACTGCCTCTGTCTGCGCTGGCCCAACGCGCAGTGATGCAGGGCTACTAAGCCCGCAGCAGCTAGCTATATTTGCCCGCAGCTAGCTAGGCGTAGCTCCAGCTAGCTAGCTAGCTACGCCCGCAGCTAGCTACAGCTAGCCACAGCTAGCTGCAGCCAGCTACAGCTAGCTACACACAGTGGACGCAGCGAGCTGGGCCTGCACCGCCAGAAAGAACAGAGGGGGCCCCCCCACAGCCACGGGCTGGGGCCCCCTTCTTTTGGCCTAAAGAGTTTTTGTTTAAAGCCACTTAAAGCCCCAAAACTTCTGCAACTTCTCCGCATGCAAAAGTGCCCTATTGAGCCACCTGGGGGCCCCCAGAGCCACTGGCCCCAGGCCTTCTGTGGGGGCCTCTGGGGCCCCCAGAGTGCAGCAGAAGGTCTTATTGGGGCCCAAGGGCCTTTTGCTGCACTCACAAAGGCCCCCGGGGCCCCCTGGAGGAGCAGGGGGCCCCCAAGGGGGGCCCCTGTTAAAGTTGCTGCTGCTGCTCATGGGGCCCCCCAGCTCGCGGGGGCCCCGTTGCTAGGAGGGGGGCCCCCCGAGGGTTTTGGCTTTCTTTAGGCTGGGGCCCCCACAGCCTAAAGAAAGCCAAAATAAAGCCTAAGGATGCACAAGAAAAACTGATTAAATATATTTATTTATTTATATTCATTTATTTTTTTGTATAAATATAAGTATTTCCGAGTTATAAACAAATTGATGCAGAAATAGAGATTGAAATATTATGTATCTTTATTTATTTAGATATAAACATAATTGTTTCCAAGCAAGAAACAAATTAATGCAGAAATGGGGGCTCTTTGGCCTTTGGGACTTTCGAGCTGGGGGGCCCCCAGGACTTCCTTAGAAGTCAAGGGGCCCCCAAAGCCCCTGGCGGGCTTCCTGGTGGCTCCATTTTGCTGCAGGGGGGCCCCCCAAGGGCAGTGGCGAGGGGCCCCCTAGGGGCCCCTGTGGGGCCCCACAGGGCCCCCGCTGAGTGGCCGTGGGCGCAGCAGCAGCTGCTGCAGCAAAAGGCCAGGAGGGGGAAAAGAAATAAATAAATAAATACTTTGTTTGGTGGATTAAGGGACTCTGGGGCCCCTAGAGAAGACACAGAAAGAAGAAAAGAAAAAAAGAAAAAAAAGATTTCCAAAAACCCACAAGTTGCTGGGGGCCCCTCTGCTGCTCACATTAGGGGGGGCCCCAGCAGCAGCTGCTGCCCACCCACCCAGAAAGTGCTGCAGAGAGAAAAAAAATAAAAGAAAGTAGACAGAATAAAAGGCCCTTTTGGCCACCAGCTGTCTCCTTTTAAGGGAAATTAAATGGCCAGTTTGCTGCTGCTGCTGCTCCAGCTTTTTGCTGCTTCTCTGGGGCCCCCTAACACTCTAAGGGGCCCCCACAGGGGCCCCTGAAGCAGCTTAGAGACCCAAAATAAACCTGAGGCCCCTTGCAAAGCAAAGCAGCAGTTTTGCTGCGCCTAGTTGTCTAATTAGGGGCCCCTGCTGGAGCTGCAGGGGCCCCCTTAGCAGCGTGTAGCCACTGTTTCTGCTGCTGCTGCTGCTGCTGCTGCTGCAGCAACGGCGAAGAAACAGCAGCAGCAGCAGCAGCCGGCGCTGCTGTGCAGCGGGCCCCGAATGGGCCCAGCTAAAAGCCCTCATTTTGTCCTTTTATTTTTAAATTGAAATGTTACAAAACTGAAGTCTTTGGCTCAACTAAAAGATAGCTGCGCATGTAAAAGAGGCAGCAGCAGCAGCAGCAGCTTTGGGGGGCCCCTGGGGGCCCCTGGGGGCCCCCCGCCTATTCTTTTCTAAGAGTGCTCTAATGGCTCTGTGGGTCTGTGCCTCTGCAGCAGCTGCTGCTGGGCTGCGCCCCGCCGGCCGCTCGGGCAGGAGCAGCGTGCTGCTGCTGCTGCTGCAGTGCAGCGCTGTTGCTGCTGCTGCTGCTGCTGCACGCTGCAGCGTGCTGCCCTCATCTGCTTTGCAAGCTGATTGAGGAAGGGGCCTGTGGGAGTAGAATTGAGTTGGGTTTTGTGCTGCAGCTCTCTTTGCTGCAGCAAGAAGGCCTGGAGGGGGGCAGGCGTGTCTGTTTCTGCCTGCTTCTGGTTCTAAAAGTGGAATATTAGGAGTTAAAAAGTAATTTTATTTTTGAAAGTTTCTTATTTGGGGAAAACGAAAAGACGGAGGGGCTCCAGGGCTGCGAGCAGCCAAGGCTTTCGCAGGTGAAGTCCAGTGGGCCACCCAGGCTTGGGTGCAGGCGTTGGCTGTGTTGGCCTGGGAAGAATAGGAAAAGGCCCTTGCTGAAAACAAAACAATTATAAATATAAATTGAAATGAATTAAAAAATTGTTTCCCCGCATCTGCGGAACAGAAGAACTCAACTTGGGCGGTCCGACGGTCTTGCTGGGCAACCAGCCGCGGCCGAGCAGCTGCAGTCACGATAGAGATCCAGCAGCAGCCCTGTAGACTTTTCTTGTTCTTGAAATGTTTCCGGACTTTATCTTTCTTTTTTGGATTTATCGCAAGAGTTTTTTCTAGATGTAAGTTTCCGTTTCGCGCAGTGTTCCTTTTCCCTGCTCGCTGCTGCCGCTGCCGACGGACTGCCGCCGACCGGGTGGCTGCTGCTCGCGCCTCTGCTGCTGCCTTCTTCTCGGTCGATTTTCGAAATTAAAGGTTTAAATGAATAATTTTGGGGAATTTCCCCGCAAATATTGCGCTAGTTTGGCGCGAAAGCGGCGGGAAAAGCCGTTCTGGCCGCGGTTCGCTGCTGGTGGTTGAGCGCTGCGCGCGCGTGCGCAGTTTGCTGCGCATCCGCGCGTTCTTGCACAAAATTCCGCCGCGTTTGAGTTTTAAGGATTTGGACAAGTTTGAATTGTTTAAGATTAGCGCATTCCGGAGTCCGTTGGCCTCCGGGAGCTGCCTGCGCCTCCTCCGCCGCCGCCGCCGCCGCTGCCGCCGCCGCCGCTGCTGCTGCTGCTGCTGCTGCTGCTGCTGCTGCAGCGCGCCTGTGTGCGTGGGTGTGTGCTGCAGCAGCGCGCGGCCTCTGGGGAGCAGCAGGGAAAATGTTCAGCCTGGGCGTGGACGGGGACGACGCGGTGGTGGAGCAGCACGCAGTGTCGCGGCAGCTCTCGCAGTTCCAAGACCGCATTATGCAAGAAGACGAAGAGCCTTCGCCGCGCGGCGAAGAACACACGCCGTTGATAGCTTTCTTGACTACGAAGTTGCTGCGGACTTCTTTTTCCCTCAAGGCCCTTTCTATGGCGCTTATGTCTTTGTTTTTTTTGGGCTTTGGCGGCCGCTGGGTCTTCACCTTCCACTCCCACCCCGACATGTCCAACGGCTTCCACTTGTCTATGGCGCTGCTCATGCTGCTGCAGCTCGCGGGCACTCTCGGCCTGTGCCTCTTCCAGGCCTTCGTCGCCGACGACTCCAAGTACCCAAACCCTAAACCCTAAACCCTAAACCCTAAACCCTAGCTGAGCCCTGCTTTCGGCTTCGCTGCAAACCCTCGCGCTCGAGCTGCTCCGCGGCGCCCAAACCCCAGAAATCGGCCCGCAGCCGGCGGCCCCACATCTCTTCCTTTTGCACTTGTAGTGTAAATTAAAATAAAGAAAATAATGCGTTGTAATGCAAATTAAAGTTTAAGTATAAATGCTTTCTTCCAGCTCCTTTCGTGCGCGCAAATGCGCCAGCTGGGCTGTACGTACAGCCGGCCACGCGCTCTCTGCGGTGTATCTACAGGTGGACCAAGGGCTTTCGGACGGGCAGCAAAATCCTCTCTGCTGCTGTCACTCTGGATTTGTTGACAGTGATGCTTCGTCTTGGAGAATATTTGTACCTTTACAACAGCCTTAGCACTCTGTGGTGGTCCAAGTTCAACATCACCAAGTCCGACTGGGTGATCTTTGCTGCAGCCAACTTGCTGGACTCCATAGCCCTCATCTCTTACGGCTGGGCTCTCTTCTATATAGAGTGTTACCACGACGAAGGCACTTCTGAAGAAGTGGCCTGGTCCATGTTGGCGCTCTTCTCCCTCGCGGGCCTCTCCAGTGAGCCCTTCAGTAGCATTTAAATGGCAATAAAACACTAAGAGGCACTTAATTAGTTATTATTAATCATATTATATGCAAGTTTTCCCGCTAAGTCGACCTCAAGTGGCCCCCTGCGCACCCCCAGCCTGAACAAACACCTGTCTATACACCGCGCGCGGGCTAGTGGCAACCCCGCGTTTAGGGTGTACAGACCGCTCAAATGCAGCCACAAGTTGCTCCATTACTGAAAAAAAGGAAAATTAAAATAGCTGGAAGTGAAAAGTCTTTCAAATTGAGCACCGAAGCTCCTGCGAACTTGTGCGTGCGGCCGCAGTGCTCATCATGATGTTCACGGGCTACGGCGCTGTGTTCATGCTGCTGTTCACTGCGGGGGCCTACGCCGTGTCTTGTTACTGGTCTTTTATGTTTGAGCCGTTGCTGCTGAAGTGGGCCCCGCAGCTGCACTCGCGGGACATCAACACGGACATAATGCCCACGGACTCGAAGCCGCAGCAGCAGGGCCAGTACCAGCCAGCAGCAGAGTTCGCCCCCGAGCAGCAGCAGCAGCCCCAGTTCATCAACACTCAGTCCTTTTCTTCTATGCCCGGCGCAGTCCAGGCTACAGCAGACATCCCCACGCAGTATGACTACGCCCAGCTGCAGCAGCAAGTCTCTCAGGGCATTGAGATGGGAGTTGTCAACCCCTCTTACCAGTAGTGGCCTTTCGTGCAGCCAAATCGGCCCCACAGGCAGCCACCCGAAGGAGGCCCCAGGGGCCCCCCGGGGGCCCCCGGCGTCGCCCGGGGGCCCCAGGGCACAGCGCCCCCACCGCGGCCGCAGGGGGCCCCCGGGGGGCCCCCCAGGGGGCCCCCAGGGGGCCCCCTGGGTCTGCTGCCCGGCCCTTTTTGTGGATTTAGAGCCGCTGAGCTTGACTCGGCGGAAGTAGCCCAGCCCCGCCTCTTGCCTTAGCTGGAGGAGTGCAGAGCTGCTTTTAATGAATACTTTAGGTGGACATACACCACAACATCGCACAACATTGGCAACTACTCCTTTATTTAATGCCGCTGCTAAGGCCCTGCTGCTCGCATGCAGCCTTCGGGATGCAGCCTGCGCTAGTTTGCTGCTGCCACATAATGCAGTACCTTCCTGCCAGCTGCTGCAGCAGATCAGGGCCCCTAGTGTAGATCTGGGTCTTTTTTTAGTACCTTTCGGCGGAAAATGCGGGGCCAGGGGCCCCCAGTTTGACACAGAAAGTCAACTCCTCTGAGGCCCCCAGTAGGCGGGGCCTCTAACTGCCCCCAGCCTCGGGAACAGCGGCAACACTGTGCTGCGCTGCTCCAGTGTGCTGCTGCAGCGCAGCAGCAGCAGCAGCAGCTGCAGCTGCAGGGGCGAAGGAAGGGCTTCGCCTCACTAACTTGGCAGCCCTAGGCCTTCTCCGGAGGGGCAACTGCCGCGGCCTGCAGCACAGGCAAAAGCGTGTTTATCCCTAGACATAGAGGGGCAGCGCTGCTGCTGCTGCTGCAGCTGAGTGCAGCAGCGCTGCTGCTGCTGAGTGCAGCAGACTGCAGCAGCAGACCCACCAGAATTTCAATGCCTCTGTCCAGAGAAGTCGATCCCGAAGCCACTAAATCCCCCAACAACGAAGAGCCCCCCACGCCGTCTTTGCTGAGCATGGCGTGCTTAACTAGCCTGAATCGCACACGGCTCTGGAGGCGCATGCATGCAAGCTGCTGCTGCTGCTGCTGCTGCTGCTGCTGCTGCAGTGAGGCGCCTGTGGGGGCTGCTGAGGCCTCTGGAGGCTGAGTTGTTTGCTGGATGCCTGCGTACCTGATGCTCTCTGGCTGCGTGAGGAGCTCGCGCCAGTCCGTTTGCTTTTGCTGCTGCTGCTGCTGCTCTGGGGGCTCTCCCGTGCCTTCCTGCTGCAGTCTTTGGGGGTCTTCCTCCTCCTCCCCAGGAGCAGCAGCAGCAAACGGCAGCAGCTGAGTGCCCTCGCGGGCGTAGTGCCGCGCAGCCTCCACTTGCACAAACTCTAGGGAGTCTAGAAACCCTGCGGGGCTCAAGTCGTCGGGGTTGCGAGTTGCTGCTGCAACAGTTTGAGTGGCTTCTGCTGCGACCAGGTGCAGCGCGTGGGGCTTTGCTGCGGGCTGCTTGCTGCTGTCGCCTTGGGCGTCTGCTGCTGCTGCTGCTGCTGCTGCAGCGGCGGCGAACGTTTTCTGCTGCGCCGCCGCCTCCGCCCCGCTTATGCTGCCCGACTGCTGCAGCAGCGCCGGAAGCGCTGCAGACTCTTCAAAGAAACGAGACAAAGACATGAACCCCCCTGCTGCAGCGGGGTCTTCAAGGTCTGGCTTAGACAAGCTCTGCAGCCTCGGCAAGCCGTCGCTAGCTGGCGGCTGCAGCGGGGCTTTGGCTAGCTGGCTAGCGTACTGGTCCGCCAGGGGAGCTAGCTGGCTAGCTGTGATGTGCTGCTTCAGGCGCTCAGGTGTATCGACACCCAGAGTTGTGAAGGGCTGGTACACCCGGCCCATCAGCTGCATCATTTGCTGCAGCAGCAAATGGCCCAGCAGGAAGATGTCCTGCACTTTCGGGTGAATCTGCAGGCAGCAGCACCGAAGCCGACACAAACTGACACTCAAGTCCTCAGCAACGGCTGCCCAAAGAGCAGCAGCAGCAGCAGCAGCCGCAGCAGCAGCAGCAGCGGGAGCGCAAGCGTGTTTAGCCACCCAAGCAGTACAAAGAGGCGGGCTCAAAGCACGGCAGCAACTGCAGACAGTCATATATTTGCGTGCATCTTAATCCCATTAAGAACTTAGTGAAAAAAGATATCTTTTGCAACTCGCGTGCCACTGAAACCCCCAGCTCAAGCCCAAAGCCCAGCAAGTGAGCCCCTGTGTGGGGCCCCACACAAATGACGAGGGGGCGGCGGAAGTCCTTTAGAAAGGCCAAGTGCGCGGCCAAGACTGTGGGGGGAAAAGAAGCCTTGTGGAGAGTCCCGCCCTTGGCAATGAGGGCATTGGGGTCTGCGAAGAGCAGCTGGGGCTTGGGGGGGAGGGCCCTGGAGAAGCACTTGGTGTTTAGCAGCGAGTAGAGCCTCCAGGCCTGCAGCAAGGCGCAGCACAGGGCCCTCGCGGCGCTGAGGGGGCGCAGCAGCAGCAGCAGCAGGCAGCAGCAAGTGGCAGCGGCGCGCTGCTGCAGCCAGCTGCAGCAACAAGGGCTCTCAGGGGGCCTACAACTGCTGCCTTTTCCGCCTCCGGGACTTTTCTCTTCTCCGGATTCTGCAGCGCCTCCTTCACGAGGGCTTCGGCCTCTGCAGCTCGCTGGGCCTCTTCTGCTGCTATCTTTCCCTCCTCCGCCTGCGCCCCAGCGGGGGGCCCCTGCCCCTCAGTACCCTTGGGGGCCCCCAGGCCCGCGCAGCTCTGGCTCACAGCCTCAGCAAGCCCCTCTGCGTTGTCCGCGTTGCGCAGCAAGTGCTGCAGCACCAGCTGCCGGTGGGAGTGTTGGTGCTGGTGTTCAGTGACGTGGAGGTCTTCGAGGTACTTGAGTCCTTCTTGCAGAAGGGACTTCGCCGCTGCAGACGCGAGTTCCCCCTGGGGGGCCCCCGTGGGGGCCCCCCCGGGGGGCCCCCGAGGGGCCCCCTGGGAGGCCCCCTGGGGGGCCCCCTCCCCCAGTATACCCCTCAGGTCCACCCCCGTTGTCCCCGTGTGCACGCAGTCGCTCGAGTGCTGCAGCCCCCGCGTGTGGCCCTCCAGCCACCGCAGCAAAAAGGCAGCCCCCAGCGCCTGAGCACTCACGCACTCATCTGCAGCAGCTCCTGGCCGTGGACAGAAAGAACTAAAAGCACAAGAAGCCCCTTTAGGGGCCCCTGAAAGGGCCCCTAGAGGGGCCCTTTAAGGGGCTCCTTAGGGGGCCCCCGCGGTACCTTTTAGGGAGTTATCGCGGGCCATATTTGCGGCCAAGCTACGCTGTGAGCCTCATTTCCCCGCTGCTGAGACCCCTGTTTCTGCATGGGGCCCCGTGGGGGCCCCACTGGTTCTACTTATTTGCTTCTGCTCCTCTTTGAAGTGCACTTTTGCTGCTAGTTGAGCTTTTTTGTTTGCTGCCAGTCTTACGTCTCTGCGGAATTTCTCAGCAACTTTCCAGGCCCAAGTGTCGAGCTCCTGTTTGCTGTCGGGCTCTTCTTGGGTGTCTGCCTGCTTGGAGCCGAGGTCAGCAGCAACAGCAACAGCAGCAGCAGCAGCAGCAGCAGCAGCAGCGCCCCTGTCCCCGGCCCACAGCGCATGCACCAGCGGCCACAAAGGCACTGAGCCCCGCTTCCAGTCCCGGGCTAGTGCAGCCACGGGGCCCTCCACTTTGGGGCTTGGCACTGCCAAGGGGGAAGCTGCAGTCTCGGGTTTGGCCACAGCCATCAGCCGGGCCACTTCTTCACTTCGGGGCAGCACTTGTCTTCTTGCTGCTAGAGCATTCAGCAGCCACAAGGCTCTCGTGCTGCTCAGCCCCTCCCGCTGCAGCTGCTGCAGCAGCGGCGTCTGCGGGCTCCGGCCTGCGTACCGCTGCGCCTGCGCCCCGCACACCCAGAAGCTGCAGCGCAGCTGCAGCAACTCCGCAGCAGCACCACTGCTCCCCTGCTGCCTGCCCTTGCTGCTCCTGCTGCTGCGGCTCGTCTCCCTGCGCATGCGACGCCTCTACACGGATACCCGCAGCAGCACCAGGTCAGGCCCCAGCAGCAGCAGCAGCAGCCGCAGCAGCAGCAGCAGCAACAGCAGCAGGAGTGCTGCGCCTCACCGTGCAGGTTTCGAGCGCCGCGAGCACCTTGTCGCGTTCCTCGGGCCTCGCGGCCTGCAGCAGCTGCTGCGTCTCTGCGGCGGTGAGGCTGAGAGCCGCACTGACGCTGCCGGGGGCCCCTATGGGTACAGCTGTGCGGAGATCACTGAGAGAAAGACCCTCAGGGGCCCCCTCAGGGGCCCCCTCAGGGGCCCCCTCAGGGGCCCCCTCAGGGGCCCCCTCAGGGGCCCGCTCGGGGGCCCCCGCAGGGCGCTGGGGAGCTGCTGCAGTGGGGGATGCGGGGCTAATAGAAAGGACTTCAAGTAGGGGCCTCTGGCACCCCAAAGCCAGCGCAGGGTCCCCGGGGCCCCCCTCTAAAGGGCATATGGAAGTGGCCAGCGCCAGCTGCAGCGGCTCGCCGTCCTGCAGCCCCACGTAGAAGGGCCAGCCATTGGCCTCTGCAGTTCTCCTGATGGCCCCCCACCTGCTCACTGCGCTGCAGCAGGGGGCCCCCGGCCCCTTGCTGGGGGCCCCCCGACCCTCCCCGGGGGGCCCCCTCTCCAGACCCTCCAGCGGGGGAATCCCCGGGGGCAAGAAGGCCAGCGGGGGCAGCGCCGCGTCCTTATAAATGGCAAACATGGAACTGAGGAGAGAAGAAGCTGCAGACACACTCGAGCCGCACACGCCCGCGAAAACCGAGGATTTAGCCGCAGAGCTGCTGCTGGGCTGCTGCTGCTGCTGCTGCTGCTGCTGCTGCTGTTGCAGCCGCTGCTGCTGGTGGTACGCATGGGAGGACTTTGCAGCTCTCTACGGCTGTGAAGTGATAGTGACTGCAGTCGAGGCACAGGACTCTACAGACGAGTCCATCTGAATGCACAATTGGCAAATATGAAGAGCACGGGTTACTGTGGGACTGCACAAATGCACTTGTGCATTAAAGAACAAGCAGCTGAGCAAGTGCATATATGCATAAGTGAAGTCCAGTGCACACATGCATGTATGCCTGAATACATATAAATGCTCGCCTATATACATACATATGTATATATATGTATATATAACGTATATGCGCATGTATATAAATACTAAAGGTACTGGCACACAGGCACATTCTGTAGAAAGATATACATGAATGCAGGCGCTTGTCTATGCAATGTCATACACTTCCAGGCACGCGCACCCCTACACAAACTCATGCGCATTAAAAATATGCAGATATATATACCTATATACATATACATATATGCATATATATGTAATATATAATATATTATACATATATATTTCGCAGCTGCCACACAGTAAGCCTCTGGGCACAAGGTCAGCGGAAAGCGGGAAAAGTGTTCCACATGTGTTGGAAGCAAAGAGAGCAGAAGCCGAGGCGGGTCTGCAGGCCGGTGAACAGAGTGCAGCATTTGAGAGCCAAAGTAAAGAAAATAGTGCAAAACAATTGGAGAAAAAAAATGCATTTTGGAGGTCTTCACCTCCACAAGCATCTTCATTGAAGTCTGCATCTTTATAAGGCAAGAAGTTCTCTAGAAAAGACCAAAGAAAGCCACGAAAGGATTTCTGGAGCTTCGAGCACTCCTGGTTACATATGAAAAGCACTCTGCACGTTTTTCCGTGCATGTACACACAGGCGTCTCAAGTGCCTTTAGAGAAAACAGCATTTTGGGTGCATGCATGCACACAGAAGAGGCCACGAGAAGCTGCAGCAGCTGAGTCAAAAGGCCTGGGAAAGCTGCTGCAGCCAAGTCAAAACGCCCACAAGAACTGCAGCAAATGCGCACAAGACCCTTTGCTGCGGGGCCACAGGCTTACCCAGTAAAGGCAGCTGCTGGATGTCAGGGTGAATGTGAAGGGCCCACTCCGCCCTCAAACTGCCATCATAGTCTTCTCGAGTAATCCTCAGAGAAGCAGCAGTGGGGGCGTTGAGGCCCCTGGAGATCCGCAGCTTCACAGACTGCGGCAGGGCCCTCCCGAAGCAGTTAACTAGGAAAAAGGCGTACAGGCGAGCAGCAGCAGCAGCAAGCGCGCTGGGGGTCGCCAGGATGGGGCCCCCCCCGCCCTCAGACGCAGCCTGGGGGCCCCCTGGAGTTGACAGCAAGTCCGAGAAAGAGGGAAATGGAATGGGGGCCCCCACCTGGTCCACGGGGGCTGGCGCGGCCAGGCCTAGAGGGGCCCTCTGGGGGCCCCCGGGGGCCCCCGGCAGCTGCAGGGTCTTCCGCATGGTGTGAAAGAGGTCTCGCAGAAACATCTGGGCCTCCACAAAAGTCCTCACTGCAGCTTCTTCATCATCTGCTGGGGGGGGCCCCTCAGGCTCCGGAGCCAGCCTCCGCGCGTGAAGGGCAGTGCCCCCCAAAATTGAGCCTTCTAGGGTCTCGGTGATAGCCTGCGAAGCAGCAGCAACAAAGGAGCATTGCTGCACGAGAGCTGCGAACAGTGGCAGCTCTAACGCATTTGCTGCTGCTGCTGCTGCTGTTGCTGCTGGGAGCATTTGGGGAAGTCCCGTACCACTAGCAGCCGCCTCTCGATCGTGTTCAGAAGCATCAAGAACTCTTCTCGCTGCTGCAGCAGCTGTTCCCGCGAGAGCTGCCTAAGATGCCCCCCTTTGCTGCTGCTGCTGCTGCTGCTGCTGCTGCTGCTTTCCTGGCTGAACTCTGCTGCTGAGGGCAAGTCCAGCGCCGCCGCCAAACTGCGGGACTGCTCATTCAGCTGCGCCATCAAAGGAGCCACAACGCGGGCCCCAGCCTCGACTCCATTGAGAGTGAGGGCCTCAATGAAGGCCGGGATGGCCAGCAGGGCAGCAGCGCTGGTGCAGTCTGCCTCGCGGGGGCCCCCGAAGGGGCCCCCCAGCAGGCCTGGGGGGCCCCCCTGGGGGCCGCGCAGGGGGCCCCCCGGGCCCCACTCCCCCGCCCGCTGCAGCTGCTCGTCCAGCTTGTCCAGCTCGGGGGGCTTGAGGTCCAGCGACAGCAAAAAGCCCTCCAGCAGCGCTGCTGCTTCTTCGCAGTTTGCTGCTGCACCGCTTTGCTGCAGTGCCTGGAATACAGAGCTGAGGTCCCTGCAGCACACAAGCCCCAAACCCCAAGCCCCGAGCCCTCAGCCTCAAGCCCTTGTGGCTCTTGTGCAGCAACTGGGGGGCCCCCAGGAAGCAGCGGGGGCCCTAGGAAGCAGCAGGGGCCCCTGGGAAGCAGCGGGGGCCCCTGGGAAGCAGCGGGGGCCCCTGGGAAGCAGCGGGGGCCCCTGGGCCCACGCAGCACTCACAGCCTTGTGCAGGGGCCCCCCAGCCAGCTGCAGAGCAGCCGCCGCTGCGATAAAGACAACTGGTGGGGCAAGGGGGGCCCCCATCCCGGGCCGCGGTCAGCAGCAGCTTCCATCCAGGCCCTCAGGGGGGCCCCCAGGGGAAGCAGCCACAAAGGGTTGGCCCTGCGGGCCCGGAGGCCCCCGCTGGGGGCCCCCCCTGGGGCCCCCCTTGGGGCCCCCCTTGGGGCCGCACTAGGGTAAGCCTCGAAGAGGGTCTGCAGCAGCAGCAGCCGCCGCCGCCGCGCAGCAGCTGAGAGGCCTGAAAGCCACACACAGCCTAACCGTAGGGCCCCAAACCCTAAACCCTAGGCCCCAAACCCTAAACCCTAGGCCCCAAACCCTTAACCCTAGGCCCCAAACCCTAAACCCTAGGCCCCAGACCCTCACCCTGAGCCTGTAAGAAGACTCGGGCTATTCACTCGCACAGGGTCTGGGGGCGAAGCTGGGGCTTTGGGGCTGCGGGGGCCCCCCAGGGGCCCCCAAAAGGTACCTTTTGAAAGCCCCAAAAGGCAAGAACTCACCTACACTCATGGGGCCCCCTGGGGGCCCCTCTAGGGGGCCCCTCGGGTCCGGCTGGAGGTCAAAGAGCTCAGGGTCCAGCAGCTCCCTGTACCTGACCATGGCGCTGAGGATTGCCCAGCGAAGGATGCGGCTGCTGCCAGCAGCAGCGTCTGCTGCTGCTGCTGCTGCTGCTGCTGCTGCTGCTGGCTCCTCAGAGGAGGCTGCCAGGGGCCTCAGAAGGGCCTCGTGGAGGGCCAGCTCGGGCAGCCGCAGCAGCAGCTTCCGCCGCAGCGGGGGGCCCCCGGGGGCCCCCTCAGTGGCTGCAGCTCTATGAACACCCCACAAAGGGTTTTGACCCTTTTGAATGACTACAGGGACATTCTGGAAAGGAGGAACTTCTTCTGAGGAGAAGAGAGTCTTTCTGAACTCCTCCCAGGTCTCTGCCACCTTCTGCAAGGGAGAATCCAGCTGCTGCTGCTGCTGCTGCTGCTGCTGCTGCTGCTGCTGCAGCGCGGGCCGCGGCGAGGGCACGCGCGGGTACAGGGCCTGGAAGAAGGAGTCTACTTGCTTCTTTAAAGTCTTAAATGCAGCAGCATCTTTGGCAGCAGCAGACTGAGCTGCCACTCTCCGCTGCACTGCAGCAGCTGCTGCTTCTGTGAACAACGCATGGGCCAGCCGCAGCTCGTAGGCGTCGGCCCCGAGGGCCTCCCCCGCATAGGGGCCCCCCTGGGGGCCCCCCTGGGGGCCCCCCTGGGGGCCCCCCTGGGGGCCCCCTGTCTTCGAGTGGGCATTTCTCAGGAAGTGGGTGGCACCCTCCTTAAGGAAACTAATTGCGTCTGTCTCTGCGTCAACAGCTAAGAAGAGAAAACTTTCCAGCGGCAACTGCAGGTGCTTCCAGGCCCTCTGGGCCTCTGGGGGCCCCTGGGGGGCCCCCCCGGGGGGGGGGCCCCCCTCCGGCCTCTGGGCCCCGCCAGGGGCCCCGAAATGAACATCTATAGCTCCCGGGATCCGGGGGGCCCCCAACTCCCTCAAGGGCACTTGAGCGGGGGGGCCCTCGGGAGATATTTCTGGGGAAGCCTGGGGCCCCCAAGGCTCAAAATCCACAAGGTCCTCATCAGTCTCAGCCTCTTGGGGGCCCCCCGCACCCGTTGAGGCCAGTAGGGGGGCCCCGAGGCCCCAAGAGGAGGTGCTGCTGCTGCGCCTGCTGCACCTGGGGGGGCCCCACAGCCCCTGCTGCAGCGAACGGCTTGGGAGCTGCTGGGATCGATTTGCATGGGGGCCCTGGGATCGACTCCCAGGGCCCCCAGGCCACAGCCTCACGAAGGCAGGGGCCCCTGAGGAGGGCCTCGCGCTGGTGTTCTCGTGACATGTCTGTGGGGGCAGCAGCAGGTGCTGCTGCTGCTGCTGCGGCTGCAGAGCAGCTGCAGCAGCAGGCATGAGTGCACCCCGGGAGAAGCCATTTCTGGCTGTGCTGTGTACAGAGAGAGAGGAGACCAAGCGGCAGCAGCAAACAGCAGCAGCAGCAGCAGCACAAAGCCGCAAGGGCCTCATCGTCCCCGCCGTAGCCTCAAGACATAAGGACCCCACGAAGGGCTGGGGGTCTTGTCTTCCGGCTATCCCCGCAGCTAAATGACTAAATCCCTGAAAAATGATAAACAATTACGATTAAATAACCTTTTGAAGGCATTTCATGGACTCCGATGCCAGTTTGAGGGGCCCTTGAGGACCCGGGGGGCCCCCTGGGGGCCTCCGCTGGGTCCTTGAGGCCCCCAGGGGGGGCCCTCCGCAATGGGGTTGCCTCCTGGAACCTCCTTCGCAGAAGAATAAACGGCAAATAGTGAACTTTGTTCCTCTTCAGCGACTTCTTACCCCAGCGAGCAGCAGCTAGCCACAGCTAGCCATAAATAGGGCCCAGCAGGGGGGCCCCCAGGACCTTTGACGGTATAGGGGGCCCCCAAGGAAGATGAGCGGCGCCAGTTGGAGAGCTGCCCTGAGCTCCTCAGGCATATTTTTTGTATCTCTCCTATCGCGGAGGCTGCATGCAGCAGCAGCAGCTGCTGCTGCTGCTCCCCGCTGCGGAGCCTGGTGGGCTGGAGGCCGCAGGACTTTCCCTCTATCCGGAGCAGCACCAGGAGCAGCAGGAGCAGCAGGAGCAGCAGCAAAGGTTTCCACGTCCTTCGCGTGCCAGTCTGCTCTGCTCCCGCGCGCCTGCATCTTCCGCGTCCCTGCAGCAGCAGCAGCAGCAGCAGCGGGAGCGTGGTTCCCCGTTGCTGCAGCAGCAGCAGCAAGCCCCCCTGTGAGCGGCTGCGCACTGCAGCAGCAGCGGGCCTTCGGCGTGAAGCGAGTGACTCAGAAGCGGCGCCACCAAATGCGCATATTGCGCCCCAAGCAGGAGCCCTACAGGCCCCCCCCCGAGGCCCCAGGGCCCCCCGGGGCCCCCGGGGCCCCCGACGCCCCCGGGGCCCCCGACGCCCCCGGGGCCCCCGGGGCCCCCGGGGCCCCCGGGGCCCCCGGGGCGGCCGTGCGGGGCGCAGCGGCGCCTCTGCCGCTGTCGCTGGTGAACTCGGGGCCAGTGCGGCGGCTGCTGCTGAGCGGGTCCGGCGCTGCTGCTGCTGCTGCTGCTGCAGTGGACTGGGGGCAGTACCTGCCGCCGGGGCGGGGCGTGCGGTGGCACCCCAGCGGGGCCTGGCGGGTGCAGTTCGACCGCCGCTGCGCAGAACGCAACTTCTTCGTCCGCGCAGATCTTTACTTCCGCGTGGGGCTGTGGGGCTTTCGCGGCGCGAGGCTGCGCGCGCTGCAGTACCGCCGCAGGCTCGAGGCCGAGTGGCGCGAGCTCACACGCACCTGGCAGCTGCTGCAGCAGCAGCAGCAGCAGCAGCAGCAGCAGCAGCAGCAGCAGCAGCAGCAGGGGGGGGGGGG